AGCCAACTCGGCGCTACGCGCCTCGTTGGCTATCTATCATCTCATATCCAACGCGCGCTCGTGGAATAATTGCTAACTATAACACTTAGCTGACTACTTACTCTTAGTTGTTCTTCAAACTCACAGGTGTGGTTGGACGCTGGAACGCAAGTGTTTTTCTCCTATTCCATTGGCCTTGGAACGTTAATTGCCCTCGGGAGTTACAACAGATTCCATCACAACTGTTACAGGTTAGAAAACAAATGAAAAGTAGCTTGGTATCTTTGCCGACGTTCTGATAACTTCCAACAGTTCTAGCTGAGATGTTAAGGCCTTTTTTATGAGATTACATTCAGAAAATTTGAGTTTTCAATAAGCAAATTTGGTTGCATTTTTTAACACTCGAGGTTGCCTTGGAGAATCTAAACTAAATATGCAGTATTTCCATTGATTAAATTTTAGAGTGAAAGAGCCAAAGGGGTCGATTATCTGGCTCCATTTAAAACATTTTTTTTCATGGAACGCAAACATTTTTTTTCATGGAACGCAAATACAATTATTTAGCGACTGGGCTAAATTTTGAATTGCTTTGAGTTTCCTTTACTTCGCTCTGTGATTGATCCAAAAAACTCGCACCACCATCTCGACCAGTCAAATACAAGACTAAAGCCAATCTCAACTTGGTTATTCGCGTTTTCCCGCGCTTTAAGCAGGGTGCATGATTTTATTTTGAGTTTTCATTGTTTAGCGATGATTCAATTCTTGTTGGTACTTCTGATTACTTTGGTTTTGGTTGTCGACCTTAAATTGAAAACTGCTCTAACCAACTCAAGTAAAAGCAAAAGTGTACGCTTTCATGTCTTAGCTATTCAGCGAAAAATTAATGTCAAACAATTTAACTTAATAATTAAAGGAAAAACACTCAGATAAATGTAATTTCTTGCATAGGGACAGCATAATATTTGCTTGGGTAAACAGTGGAACAAGTTTCTATGGCGGTTTTGTGATATTCTCGGTTCTTGGCTTCATGGCTCAGAAGCAAGGAGTGGAAGTGAAGGACGTGGCAAAAGGAGGTAAGAAAAGACACTGCTAGCCAGGATAGAGCAATTTTTCCTCTCTTTGTACTCTGTTGGTGACGACTGATTCCCCCTTCGTCCGCCCCTGAAAACCACGTGATCCCCCTCTCCAATCATCCACCCCTCCTCCGCTGTCCCCCTTCCCCCCAAACTGGTTAACTGGTCGTAACTTACCAAATCTGCTCCTCCCTAGGTCCAGGACTTGCATTCATCGCTTACCCAGAAGCTGTAGCGCAGATGCCTTTAGCCCCTCTATGGTCGGTTCTGTTTTTCTTCATGGTCTTCTTATTAGGACTCGACAGCGAGGTTCGAGAATGAATTTACTAATAATCAAACTTTTAAACTGGACGTCACAGGTGATTAACGCATTTGTGCATAAACATTGCAGAAAATATGAAGACGCAAATTGTAGCATTAACTTCTCCTTCTTGTTTTATTTCAAGTTTGTAGGCATTGAAGGGTTTGTTACAGCCATTGTGGACCTGTTCCCGAAACAATTAAGGCGTGGTTACCGTAAAGAGCTGTTTATTGCATTCATGTGCAGTATTTGGTTTTTCATCGGACTGTCCATGGTTACTAAGGTACCTTTAAAAGCATTAAACAAAAAATTAATTTTTTGGTGTCATAGCTTTGAGGAACTGACCCACGAGCAAGTCATTAATTTTAGCGTTGCAGGACGCTCGTTTCTCCCCCCGCAGGAAGATTTGAGACTGTTCGGGTAGTTATCTATTGATATTCAATGACTGGTGCCAGGTTGTCCTGGGGCCTGGCACTAGTAATCTGTATTTGACCCCTGACAGAGTTCTCACTGACTCGCGGCTCAAGGTGTCGTACTTTTCCGCCGGTGGAGAAACGCTCCCGCGGGCGATCGAGGTACACACTGATCTTACACATGGCTCAACTTTTGAATTTCAAATTCCTGGTTAATAAAACCCTGATCAAAAGCCTTTGTAGAGTTTTACCTAATTAAAATTCCTTTGAAGAGATCGATAATGTACCAAAAATAGAACTTACAACCGAGCGATTTTTATGAGGAAACGCAAACCCTTCAGATTATATCCCTGCAATAATGGAGTATGTTTACAANCAAATGAGCTCTGAGTTTTATCAGTTTTCCTGTAATCCTAAACATGCTAAAAACAACATTATTATCATGGTGAAGTCGTAAAAAAACTCTCTGTCAGAGCTTATTCAAATATATTTTCACTGCTATCAGTGAAGAAGCAACTATTTAAGATAGCTGTTCGATTTTAATAGAAATAAAATCTCACAGCCCGTGAGGATTCCAATCAGTTTCGACCTCCTAGGCATTGATCAACCATACTATGAGCAACAGAGAACACGCTAGCGAACTCGGTCATACCCAAGGTCCATTTCCATTCACACTTTTGTGGAATGTTAATTATTCTGTGAGTTGCATTAAATCTAGGCTTTTTTTTCTTAGGGCGGGATGTACGTCTTTCAACTTTTTGACAATTACTCAGCCAGTGGCTCTGCTCTTTTGTGGATTGCCCTTTTCCAAAGTATAGCCATTGGTTGGATCTATGGTAAGAATTACCTGAATTGACAAAAAAGTGGTATTTTGTATAAATGTAGGTTATACCACGTTTTTCAATAGTTTGACCTCCTTTGTACGTTTAGATAAGTTAGGGGCAGTGCGATTCCGGGGTCCCCGTTTTCTTCCATCACGAATGCCATATTCCATTAACTCTCCTTGTTCCAGTATCTTTTATGAACCGGCCCATTTCTATTGGTGTTCCGACAGGTGGGGAACGTTTCTATGACGATATGGAGAATATGATTGGTTTTCGTATTAACCCGTGGCTCAAGTGGTGTTGGTCGGTATTCACGCCTATTTTCTGTTTGGTAAGACAAAATTTTCAGTTTTCAGTCTTTATCATTCTCAGTTTCATATAAGAAACGTTATTTAAAGGTAAAAAAAAAAACAGCAGCAACAATGATTTAATGAGATACGTGTACAATAGCCCTCACGTTTGGCGGGTTGACAACTGGGTCCAGAGGGCCTAGCTCGAGTCTTGGCAAGGATTTAAATCTTTATCTAAGGAGGTCTTCGTTCTAGAACAATTTCATTCTGTAACGTTTCTTAATATTTTTGTTGTTTGATTGTCGGCGTTGATTCGTCTCTTTGGCAAGTTACAAAAAAAAATACGTTTCAGAGCCATCGTAAATTGCGGACAAGTTTTTTAGAGCTTTGTAGAAAGACACATTTTAAAATGCTGATTGCAATTCTGTGATAAAAATGGGGTCACCAAACTCGTGTTAAGTACGTTAGAGATACATACAGGACAAAAAAGGGTGTTTCAAGGTTGCTGGTAACCTTAATTGGTAAAGAAATAACTTATTTTTTAAAGTCAATTTCAAGGAAATGAAATAAAAAGAGTTGAAGCTACAGTCATCAAAGAGAAGCTTTTCACAAAATTGATAAAAAAAATCATTTCGAGCACTTTGAGGATTTTGTTTTGTTTTGTTTTTTTGTCCGCAGGGTGTCTTTATTTTTAGTCTAGTGACGTACTCGCCTCTAGAATACAGCGGCTACAAGTACCCTGACTGGGGAGAAGCCATCGGCTGGATCATGGCTTTGTCTTCAATTGTGTGCATTCCAGTTGTGATGGTATACAAGTTGGCCACAACACCAGGCTCCTTAAGAGAGGTAACCACTACTAAAGTGTTCATTAACATTTAAAAGGAAATGCGTTGCTGACACAATGTTTGAAAAACAAACGTTCTAACCTCGAATACGATGCGCGAATGAAAGAAACGTCGGTCCCTGTTTGATTTGTAAGAATTCCAAATGAAAGAGGTCCGAATTCCTTGCCCGTCAATACCCCTTATTTTCCCTTGAACAAACCTAATAGAGTTTTAATAATAAGATTTTTGCATGTATTGGAAGGACTGTAACACTTGAAACTTGCTGTGGTCATTGAATTGTAAAATTCTGTTGGTGTAGATCAGTAAGTGCTTGGGCTTTATTGCAGAGTCCGCAGTGGTAAACATTCCAGCTCTAGCCAGTTATTGCCTTCATTGACGAGACACTTGTGTCTCTCTCCATCGAGTACTACCAAACTCACCTCCTCCCACCCAGCCCTGAATGTATCAGCCATTTTAATGATTAGCTCTACGTTCTGGCAGACCTGGCCTTGACTTAATCAGTTGAGATCCAAGTATTTCGATGACTTGACGTATCTTCGGATGACACAACTCGCTATACGTACACATACTTATTACCGAGTGATGTCAGACATCTTATTTATGAAGTTGTAATGAATATTCCTTCACGGAAAAAATAATCGGTTACAACTTGTGTCACTCCCAACGAGTGACTTCCTAGCTCAGTTGGTAGAAGTGGCCGACAAGTATCTGGAAGACGCCGGTCGCGTTGAAGCTTGAATCTTTTCAGGCTTTTTTCTTGCAATGAATAAAATTGCAGTTTACTTGCGAGGATTATTTCTTTTCATGATCTCTTACAACACCTAAAGATCAAGCTAAAACTCATGTATTTTTATTCATTTTCGTTGACAGCGTTGGGATACCCTGACCACACCCAGTTTAAAGAATCAGTCCCCAGAGGCCAACGGCCACAACTTCTCTCAGGAGTCTTACAAACTCCGTGACAAGGCATCGCTTTGAGGGCTTTGAGTGACGGCGTACCTGTTGTATTCTTACTGTATCAGTTTTACATTTTTGTACCTTCATTTTCAGAGCAACTTTCTTTCAACATCAACTGGATTGTACCATTGTAAAATCCCAATTCCCCTCTGTGACTATTTTAATCAATGTATGAACTGTTATGCAATGGACATCCTTTCGAGAAATGTTTACACACAAATCCTCAATTGTACCAAATAATTCTTTTGCTCACGCAATCATGGTGGTAAGGAAATATTTATCAAGCTACTTTTATAACTTCTATTGCTTACATGAATGTAATGATGTGAATGTTTTCATCAAATTTCAAGAACTGAAAAAAAGTGTAGGATTGTTTTATTTCTATTTTAGTGTCATCATTGATCTTTCCTTTCCTTTCCTTTAGCTTTCTTCCTGCTCTACCCTTCATGAACACCTGTCTTTATAATTTGTATTTCAAAGTTCTACAGGTGGGCCAGAATTCTAAGAAGAATCAAGCGAGTAGTTTCTCTGCGAGAACGTAGGCTGTTAGGGACTAATAGCATTCGTACATTTTTAAGGGAAACACGTAAAGGGTTGTCTTTTTATCAATATCGATAGAAGAATGAAATTGGATAAATAAAACTAAAATAATTACCAAAAATTAATCCATAAATATCTGGGATTACCATAAATATCTGGGATACACTGGGATTAACTAGGGCTTAACTTCTCTTAAGGAGCTGAAGTAAAAACTTCAGACAATGTTCCAATAACTCGCGTTACTTCATTGCAAAAATATTAGGCTTGAGTTCAAATTTTTTTAATCGAGCAATGAATAGGGATGACTCCTTCGGCCAGAAACAAAAATTTGTTTTTCTATTATTAATAATTTTTCTTCGTTAAAAAAA